GTCTGTTGCCATGGAGTGAGTGCAGTGCTTGCTACTGCAGCTATACAATCGCGCATGTTTACATGCGATTCACCGACAAAACTAAGATTGAGAGGGCCAGGAAGAAGCAAGAAAGATCAGGACATGAAGGGAATTTATTGCTGTCATTTCAAAAGCATTTTTATGATTAAACAGTGAAGTTTTCATCACAGTCCCATGCATTGGTATTTGTGTTACTGTTAAGGTCTCGATTCTCCTGAGTGGGCTTATCTCTAAAAAAAATCTCTTGATTTTACCCACAAACTAATTATTCCCTTCATAAGATATACAGGCACTATACATGTAGGTAGGCTATCTTCATGACAATCATAAGAATATAAAATTAACTTGTGCGGTCTGTATTTTGAAATATTAAGCAGACACTTTCACACGCATGCAAAAAAGCAAAGTTAGGCCACACATAGCTGCATGACTATTCTGGCTGTGTATTAAAAGCTGTGCTATTGATTCTCAACATTTCAAACACCACCATACAAACTCAACTGATTTCACTCAAAATCGGTACTTTAGTGACAATTTATGACAGCTAAATAGCAGTAAAATACAAGTTTTAAACTTACCGATGTTAGAAAGAATAATTTAAAAATTCAAATTGTAAGTCTACTGTCAAACTTGCCGATCAGCCACATCGGTATAATTGTGTGCATTTGTGTATTAAAAGTGTATTGACTATTCATGTGTGCAAATGCTGCCTATTAACACGTAGTGCAGTGCTAAAGGTCAATACGCATTAGCATTAACTCTCTATGCTTTGCTGGAGTAAGTTAGGCTTGTGCTTGGGCCTATGGGGTCTTATAAATAATAGTTAATACTAGAAATGGAAACATGAGCACCTCTATTGATTCTAAAATGTTGTAACATCATTGTAAAATACTTGAATTTACTCAAAGGCTCTACTTGAGTTACAATTGGTGACATCTGAACGGCAGTAAAGTACAACGTATCGTACAATAAATTTCACTCACGGCCTTGTTGGGAAAAAATACTTGTAAAGAAAATTAAATCTTGACTGTTGCCTCTCTTGGCAACTGTCCCAGTTGTATTCATTGTATGCACTTCTGCCTTACTGCGGGTGCTGAATCTCCGTGCTCATACATGTAAGATAAGGTGATAAACTGTTTACGGTTGACCTCGTATAGTACATGAGTAATAAAATGTCTAATGACTTATTAAAGTTCAAACAAACATTATTGGGTGGAAATTATAAATAATAACACTTTGATTCAGCTGATAGTAATGCCACTCAGAAAATAGCTTGGGTAGTCATTGACCACATTAACAGGTCAGCATTATGAAACCGTTATTCAGATTTCAATCTTTTTAACTAAGATATTGAAAAATTATTTTTTTCCACATTGAAAATTTATGTATTTCTTTTTTTAGGAAGGGGACTGAACATGTGTTTTCATTGTATATGGGGCATTTCCTACACGGGTGGCCAACCTGCGGCCCGCGAGCTCTTCTGGTGCGGCCCGCGGAGCAGTGAAAAAATACTTCATAAATGAAATGCAGCCACATATAGCAGCGATGAAGTAGGGTAAAACATTTACACGCAGCTATCTCTAATATTTCCATAATTGATTTAATCTTTCACAACGCATTGACTCGTTACTTGGTGATACACTGACTCCTTAAATTCCCTCTCATTACATTATATTAACGACATTAATACCCGCATTAATATCACTCGCCGTGTAAATTTCTGTTTCTAATTTCCGCACGCAGTAACAACTGTTGTGATACACCGACTCCTCAAATTCCCTCTCATTATATTATATTAATGACATTAATACCCGCATTAATATCACTCGCCGTGTAAATTTCAGTTTGTAATTTCCGCACGCAGTAACAACTGTTGTGAATCGAGAAATAATGTTTGAAATGCCATACTTGTTTCCAAACTTACAACTCTTTTCTCCCGCCGTACAATTTTCTCATGAATCTTAATCGTAAACTTTATAGGCAGTCCCCTTCCCTCTACACCGCGTTCAATTAGATGTACAGTGTACAAGTAATACATTTAGGATATTCTTTCTGCTGTGTCCTTGATTTTGATTGAAATAACAACCAACATGGCAACGACCTCGAGACCTGCGAAGAAAAGGGGAGTTTCTGATGAAGGCAGAAACTTTAAATCAGATTGGTCTCTAAAGTATTTCTTCATAGGTGGACCACTTTACCTCATTTTCACCAGAGTATGTAATGGAGGTTAACAACATAGTAGAAAAGTGCAAGCCACAGAAATCACACTAAAAATAAGCCTGATTTGTTTTTCTCACTGATCTTGTTGTTTGCTTGTTTGTTTTTGCAGAATTTCAGGTGTGTACACGTATTGCATGAGTGTGTGTGTGGGGGAGGGGGGAGACTAGCTACGGCCCGCCAAGTTATGCCAATCGTTAGCTGTGGCCCGCGAGCTTTAAAAGGTTGGCATCCGTGCTTTATTACATGCAAAGCTAAGACCAATAATAATTTGTTTTCCTGTTTCTCTTTTTGTCTTTAAAAACTTGCTTCAGCCACAAAAACCAACAATGTTCCACATGAGGCAGAGGAATCAGTGATAAAGGAGCCACCTCCGAAAATATCTGATAACTTTGACCAAGGCAATCAGATGAGCAATTGTGTTCAACCAAGGAGGTAGAGGGAAAGAAATCCCAGGTTACATGTCGTATAATTTAAAGCGAAGGCTTCAGAAGACCTTTCCTTTTCTGAAACTTCTTGGTCTTTTTCATAGTTATTCTAGTGATTTAGTTTTTGTAGAAGATTTGTCAATGGATGAGGTGACTGTTGCATATTTTATGATGTGCAACCCATGTCTATTAGAGTTATACAGTTTGGTAGCCATTCAGTTTGAAAGTAATTTTCAGTGTACTTCTGAGTTTTACACTTTGACACTTTACACTGAGTATAGTAGAGTATAGTTTATAAAAGCTTAGAAGTTACAATACATGTACCTGCTTAATTGGCTGAATTAATTGAATGTTAGTATGAATAGATCCAGAGACGTACCGTTTTAATATGACAGAGCTTAATATTCTAGCAGTGTGATTTCTAAACATTTTAAATTGAATCTGATGGTACATACATATATAATGCCTATATGAAATGCATCAAGAATGGTTTATTTTGTCAACAGCGTTTTTCGAACTTGTACTGTGAACCTTTTTCTTTCTTTTTTTTTAAATAGAACATTAAATACTATACTATAACATATGCTTTTCATGTAAGGTCACACCGAGAGAAAAAATGGATGGTTAAACAAGATAGCAAATGATATTTAAGATGTATGATATGCAATTATACTTGTTTATGGGGGATATATGATAGGGGCATATGTGACTTGTGTGTTCATATGCATGAGGGCCATTTGAATTTACATGTCACAAATCTTTCTTTTTGGGGTAATTAATTTCATTCATTATGGGGCTTGTCTACATTGTGTGCATATACATGTAGATCCATGTGTGGTAGGGTGGTTGTGTTTAAATAATCGAATGAGCATGGTACGACATTTAGTTAGTAAACATCTTTTGCTGATCGTATGATTGGAAACCACTGTTACAGTATGTTTATGTACAAAAACATAAACAAACTGTAAAAAAAAATATACAGTATGTTTATGTGACGTTTTCGCTTCATTGGGCTGGTTTCGGGGGGGGGGGGTGTGAGGAAAGCTAAGGGGGGGCAAGGGGATGTGGAGCATGTGACTAATAATGCCATCCCTTTGGAAAACTTGATAGATACACAAATGCGTCTGATTCTATGTTCATACTGAAATCAGGTTTTATGAGACTTCTTACCAATATGTTTTACATGTATTAATTAAGGTACTAATTAATGTACACATGCACATTTTATATGATTAAACATCAATTCATAACATCACCCTTCTCAAAACACCATTTGTATGCAGAGTTTTTTACATCTAATATGACTGTTTTTACATAATATCTCCTCTTCTAATTCTGTTACCTCAACTAAACCTCGATTTATAAATTCTGACCATGCAACAAGACAATTTTTGATCTGACAGTTAATTTTGTTTACACAGCATTTTCATACTTTTCTTACACAAATTATAGTGTAAGATAAAAAAATCCAATCATTTCGATACAATATTTGAATAATGATTTCCACCTACAAGTCTGATAACCCAATAATTTGCTTATCAAAGATAAATACGAAGAACTTATTTTGATACCATGTCTACCATATCAAGACCACCATCTAACTTTTCTTTTCACTCTTTCTTTTTTTGAACTCCAAAGAAAAGCATACATACTCTATTTAATGAAACACGTTTAGGAGCAGGTACTTTAGTTGCCGTATAAACAATTTGTGAAATGATTAAGGCTTTGATACAACATTAAAAAACACTTTACTATAAAACGTTAATATTCCCTGTTTCCAGTTTTTCAATATATTTTGAATTTGTCCAATTTTTTCATCCCAAATTAAAAATTAATTTTCCGTTTTATTTTCCCCGATATATTCCCAAATATTGTATTTTCTGTTTAATACTTTCCCCACATTCTCCATCCGCATAATCTGTATTCATCTTCATCACTTTCAGTCTAATCCCAATATATTTGAGGACCTGCCACTGCTCCAAAATGTCTGACCTCTTCCACGACATTGATCAATGATTCTAAACTATTTACAGAAAGGGTTGTGTCATCTGTAAATTGAGACACTTTTAATTCGGACATTGCAGAACGTGATATATCCATTCATTTTATATCTTTATTTTGTCGGATCTAACAAGCTAGAAATTCAGCTACATTAACGAAAAGTAAAGGGTTCCTAGTTGATCATCATTATCATTAATCTTTTTGAAGGTCATTAAGCATATTTAACCATGTCATCTTCGACGCTCTTCACACTGTTCACATTAAGGAGGTACTTCTGAAACATTGACCCAACTTAAACCTACCCCGTATGTTAAATATAAGTTGATTACACGATTACTTGTCAACAGAGGATAGTTTAGTGGCACTTGTATCAGTAGAGACGTTGCTAGTCTCGTATATGGCCGCAAAGACAGATTGAAGTCTGATAGACGGTACGTTCCTAAAGAGTTCTTTAAGAGCCTGTCTGAAGTTAGGGTTCCTGGCGGCGTAGATGATAGGGTTCGCACAGGAGTTGACAAAAGCAAGGACTACGAAGGAGCGGTAGAGGGGGCTGTTGAAGTGCGAGAAGTCGATGATACCGACGGTGAAAGCGAGGAAGCCAAACTGATCAGGCGTCCAGCAGATGATGAAGATGACGACAACTATAAAGAGCATTTCGACGACGCGACGTCGGGCCCGCAGGAAATGTTTATTCGGTCGCTGGCTCTGGTTTTCGGCGGAGTAAGGCTTCACCTGGGCGCGCTCACGAAGGGTTCGGATGGTGAAGACGTGGGCTAGGATCATGACTGATACGGGTACCAAGTACTCTGCGATGAAGTAGAAGACTCCGATGAACTTCTGGAAAGATGGCGTCGAGAAGCCAAAAGCACATTTTCCTTCAAAGATGTAGTGGACGTAGAAACTGACGGTGTTGATGACGAAGGAGATTAGCCAAATGCCACCGATTGCGAGGGAGGTTGATCTGGAGGAAAAGAAACGCTGGAATTGAAAAGGGTACCTCACAGCCATGAGCCTTTCGATTGAGATGGTGGTGAGGGTAAAGATAGATGCGCAGATGGATGTCCACATGAGGGAATTGGATTGGATGATCCGACAGTAGAGCTGCGCTGCTATGGTGTCTGGAAGCGTCTTTACTTGAGCGTGAGGAATGATGAACACCGACGTCAAGAAGTCGGCCAGAGCCAATCCAGCAATCAGGGTATCGGTGGAGCAAAGCTTTCTCTTAACACGGAAAATTACCAACATCACCAGGGAGTTTCCGATGATGCCAGCGATGGCTAGGATCAACTGAATGACATCCCACCATTGCCAAGTGATCGGTATCCATGACCACACGGCTGGCACCACTGCGTCGGTGGAGTTAGTAACAGTTACAGTTTCGCTCATGTTCGCACCAAATGTCGAGAGACCTGACGAAGTTACGTAAAACTCAGACGACATGAGCGGCGATGTGTCAGTGTTTATTGTCGAAGAAACTCTCGTAATACTCATTTCCATACGTGCCGTGCTTAAGAAACCCAATCAAGTATCTGAGCAGGCGGGTTTAAGAGTCTGTGAATGAAAGAATTTTGTTTTTTTTAGGTCAGTCGTTCGCAAGTCATTCCCGTGCAGACAAAAGCTTTGTAACATGAAACTTTCATGAATGGTTACATCGTAGCGATTTTCAAGGAAATAAACTTTTGCGACTATGCAAAAATGTTGGTTGTATCGGTTGTGGTTATTTCTTTAATGTTCTATATAAAGACACCGTTGTCCTCGATTGACTCACAACACGATATCTTCTTGTATAGTGATTAACAACATATGGCTTCGAAACATGTCCAAAGCTTTAATTGATCGTTTAAAAATTAATAAAAAATCTAAAGTGGGAGCATGTGTCTAGTTTTCCTGTTTTGTTCTGTGAAAGGCAGAATGTGAAAGTAAGAACATAAGCACGCTTTAGTCGTGGCGAAACTTATTTAACGACAGATTTGTATATAACAAGACAAGGTTTAATATCGTTTACCATGGCTACTCTGCCACTAATTAATGATCTTCTTTCGATTACGGGATATCCCTTGAAAAATTGACGGAGAGCAGTGCCGTAGACACGCAGAATGTCTTTTTGAATGTGCGGTAATCTGTTCGATACGGGTAATATTATACGCGTGTCTATGCCAGTGACTAGGGAATTTCGGACAAAGGTTAAGTATTGTTTTGCTAAAGATTCGAACCTATGATCCGCATTCTAGTGAACTGATTAAATGAGCCTTTTTTGGACTGCTTGTGTGATAAACTGTCGACAATCATCTGTTGATACCTAATCTGGCTTTTTGTTGCACATTATTTACAAGAGAGATGGGAAAAATTAGAAAACATTGATGTAGACTACATTTTGTGTAGCTTCTCAGGAAAAAAAATCATTGAATAAGAGGTAAGGCTGGAGAGCAGTCAAAGTCCGGTAATCACATTTAAGATAGTTGTCCAGGTGGGGGTAGTTGTCCTAGAGGATGGTTGTCGTAGGGGGTAGTTTTCTGGGGATAGTTGTCCGGGGGCAATTATCTTAGGGGTCGTTGTCCGGGGATGGTTGTCCTAGGGGGTAGTTGTCCAAGAGGTTGGTAGTCCTAGGGGGTAGTTGTCCTAGGGGTAGTTGACTGAGGTGGTTATCCGGGGGTGGATGTCCAGGGGTAGGTGTCCTAGAACCCAGAAATATACCAGTAAATGTTCCTCATTTATACGCATATCTGCATACACCACAACACTCAGTGAAAATTGTGTTTTTATATCAGAGCAAAATGTTACGATCAAAATTGCTTATCTTGGTCAATGTTGCCCATTTTCTCGGAGAAGGAACGCATTGTAGTCTTCGAAATGAATTGGATATATGCAGTAGTGTTGTTAAATGCCACATATTGGGGTCAACACGGACAGACAGTGATGGAGTCAAGCTTGGTGGTCTCCAATTCCCTACACCTATCCTACTTGATGAAACAATTTGTGCCGGGAAACCGCTTAATAAGAGATATATTTGGTAAATTATCGCGTAGTCCCATATACATCTTTCTGTGTACAGTTCTTGTAACTTTAGCAAGACTGGGCCAAATTTCTTACCATTTTGATGATTCCAGAACCTTGCAGTACACACCAATACTTATATGCTAGCTGATCAACCTTTTCTGATCGATTCCAAAACGTTTCTTTCCCAATGCAATCGCCTGACCAGAACTGGTCTATGCCTTTAAACATTTTTTTAATGGGAGTACTGCACTTTACAAATATGTACGTACAATCCAAATAGTGCTCATTGTTTTGGGGGATAGTATTTTTTTTTAATGACTGATTGCCAAAAACTGCTGGTAGTCAGGAAAAACAATGACACGATCTTCCCGTGACAACATTTTAGCTGTTTTTAACCAGGATTTCCCGGGTATAGTTTCCATTTGGATCCTGCTGTCAGATTCGGGGGAGAATTTAGGGAAATTTCACATTCTCCGAATGCCATAAACAGGTAAAGGTCACGGTTGATTGGGCTACATTTCAAAGGGGTAATGTTCATGGCAAAGCTATTACTGAGTAATAAGTAAGATAGTCGATGCATATAAGGAACCCATTCGACTAACGATATGTTTTTCTTATTCTAGTACTTCTGTAAATCACCTACATAAAAAGTAAAACCTATGCAAAATTTCTATAAAATTCGTCTTATGCATGATTTTATTTTGTATGAAGTACATTAAGCGCGGTCGTTAACTATTTTCAGTTCAATAACTTCTACTATGGTTGACTTGTTACCATGACAACCACGCGTTAACCCAGACATGCGTCGTCAGATGAACGGATGCCCGACGCGTCACTCCCTGATGTTTTTATTGTATTGAAGGGCAAAAGGAATGACACCTCGCGTGGTGTTACACCGAGTGGTATCGAGCCCCTATACCAGGCGCGTACGCAGGGGGTGGTTTTGGGGTTAAACCCCCCCCCCCCCCCTCGAGTTTTTTTTATGTGTATGTTTTATGTATGTTTTTTGGGAAAACCCCCCCTTTTGATTTTAAAACCACCCCTTGAAAAAAATCCTGCGTACGCCATTGCCCTATACTATACAGATATAAACGTAGTATTAGAGACTAGAGACTCTATTGCGTTACTGATTAATTAATTATATCATTACAAATCTTTATTCTCAGTTGTCTTAAGTATAAGTGATTTTCTTATCAAATTGAAGATATTTATGGCGTATATATTCAATACTGAATGAACGCCATTAAACTATTACCTACAACAACAACAACAGTATTAGAGACGGTATTTCTATGATAGTAGTCTTGTTCAGACGATGGCAATTTACCCCCGAGGTAAAGGTCGTGTTAAGAGCTAGTTGGGGTAAATATGTTGAGGTCGGTGTTAATGTCGGAGTAGTAATCGTCTGAACGATGGTCTTCTAGCCACGCCTTTACCCCCAGACCGATTTACTCCTGGATTTATCAAGGAGTAACGCGTTAATACGAGTAGAGGGTAGCGATACTATATATACTGTTTATACTGTTTATACATTTCTCAGTCTGCTTCTATCTGTCTCTCTCTTTCTACCAACCCCCCCCCCCCCCCCCTCTCTCTCTCTCTCTCTCTTTCTCTCTCTTAGGCTAGTTATGGCAAAATTATCAGATGCAGTTGTAATTATTGTTGTTTTCTGTAAAAGTCGAACCAATGGTAGAGGGTATAATTTCTCAGCCATTCATTTTACAATAGGGAAGAGATGAAGAAAAATTAAAATATACCGTATTGACTTTTTGAAATTAATATCGAAATATGATGCGTGATATAATATTTTATAGGCAAACTGAAGAAAACGAGGAACGATGCGAGGCTACCAGGAAGAGGATACAAGTAGAACAGGAGACAGGAGACAGTGACATTGGCGTATCCAGGTGGGGGCACAAGGGTACGCCTCTCTGTCAAAATCTGTCTGTAATACCAACATGTGGTATCAGCATCTCTCTCTCTCTCTCTCTCTCTCTTTCTCTCTTCCTTTCTGACATTATCATTGCTGATTGAGGCCTTGTCGGTATTTTTGAGATCTCTACACAATCCTACTTCGCATTTCAACTTTCCAACCCCCTCCCCGCCCCTCCGCCCCTAAAAAGTGCGTTTCCCAGAATAAGGAATCATTACTGGTATACTTCTGGTATTTGCAGCAATCGGGGAAATAGAGGAAATTATTTCCCTGGACCAATCATCAGACTGCATGCACAATTTGGGTCACGTTTTATAGTTGGCGAAAAACAAAGTTGTGCTCATTATATTCCTTCTGAATGAACTTGTTCTCTACAATCGCTTGGAAACGGACGAAAGTTTTGTATTTGTTTAATAGATCAGAGGTAAGTTTATGAACTAGTGCTTTGAATTTTTTCAAGCTTTCACTCACTGAATTCCTCTTGTGCTCATTCTTGTCTTTATTCATTCTTAATTGGCTTTTAAAATTTCACGGAAACAGATAGAACAAAATTCATGTGTGTTTGCATAATAAAGGTAAGTACCGGTCTTGTGTTTTAATGCTTTCAAGATTTACCTCAATAAAAAAAACATTCTCCTGAAAGGCTACACAAAGTAGCCAACGTTTGTTTTTGCTTGCTTGCTTGTTTGTTTGTTTGTTTGTTTTTTATCTCTTGTAACTTGCGGACAGAAACCAATTCAGGTATCAACAGGTTATTTTTGACAATTGGTCACACTAACAGTCCCTGTAAGTCCGAAAGAGACTAATAAATTGGATCACTGCTGCCAGATAATTGTTTAGAGAAGACGAGGTTTAGTGGATGAGTCGCCGGAATGCGGATCGTAGGTTCGAATCCTTAGCAAAACAAGAATTTAACTTTTTTCACTGGCATAAACACGTGTATATTACCTGTATAAATCGAATAGATTACCGCCCTTTCAAAAAGACATTATGCGTGTCAACGGCACTGCTCTTGGTCATATTTCTAAGGGATGTCCCCTAGTAAAAAGATGGTCATTAATTAAAGGTAAAGACTGGAGGTGGTAAAATTGCGTTTTGGGTGTAAAATATCCATTCAATTTTGTTCTAATTATTGCCTTCAGAGGTTTAGATGGCAGTACTTCAACCTAAATTCGCGAAAAAGCAGAAATATATGCCCAAATGTTCAATGTTGAGGTTTCCCGGCAAAATTTGTATCATCACGTATTAGTCAAAACCACTGGCGTACCTGAGGGGGGAGCAAGGGGGCAGAGTGCCCCCCCCCCCCCCTGACGGGCTCCAGGGGAAACAAAAAAGGAAAAGGGGGAAGGGGAAAGGAAAAAAGGAAACAGAGAAAAAAGGGGAAAGAAAAGAAAAGAAAAGAAAGGAAAGAAAAAAGGAAAAGGGGAGAGAAAAAAAATAAAGAGAAAAAAGGAAAAGGAGAAAAAAAGGAAGAAGAAGAGAAAAGGAAGAAAGAGGGAAAAGAAAAGGAAAGAAAAAAAATGGGGAAGTAATTTTTAAAAAGACCATGGCCGTACGCACCGTGGGGGGGGGGGGCAGTTGACCCCAGATATTTTGAAAACGTACAGTTTTTTTCCTGAAAATGTTTAACAAAGCTCACAAGTAGTGAAGGCCTATACCAAATCCTTCAATTCTACTTTTGAAAAATGCAAAAGTACCCTCATGACCAGTTTGGTCGCTCGTACTCCCTTCAATCCTTTTGCTTTTGAGTTTCTTCAAAAACGTTTTATGCATCTTCTCCCCTCCCCAATCAGAAAAATATTCCGCATACGGCAAAGAAAAAGACAAATGAAAATAGGAAAATATAAATGATAACAAATTCGACACTCTTCGCTGGCGCGAGCTGCTTGCTAGCCTATTTTGTATTAATTGTTTTCACTTGCTCGTCCCCCTGAAAAAAGGAAAAGGATTAGCATTGCCTAGAATACAATTGTGTCTGCTCCGACTGGCCCCGACCTGCAACCATGGCAACCATAACACCCAGTTTATGTACCAAATGTTACTAAAAGAGACTAATTCATTTATTCTCGCTCGCTACGCTCGCTCGCGAATAAATGAAATAGAAATTGTTTTGAAAACAATTGTGCCCATCCTTGACCTGCAACAATATCATTATAAATGGAAGAGTTTTTTCGCCCTCTCGCCAAAAAGGAATTGATATCGTGTTAAACGCAATTGCGCCCATCCCGACCTGCACCTATAAAAACAAGTTTATGTATTAATTTCTATTAAAAGAGAATTGATTTTTTTGCATCGCTATGATCGCTCACCAAAATGGAATTGACATTCCTAACAAAATATGTGCGCTCCCTTGCCTGCAACGAAAATCCCAGTAAATAAGTACCGAACGTTATTTTGAGAGATATTGTTTCCTCGCTCGCCAGAATTGATGAATTGATTGATTTTAGTGATTGATATATGAGTTGATTTGTTTTTTGTTTTACCCTCTCTTGCTACGCTGTCTTTACAATTAACATCGCTAACAAACATGCTCACCCCAACCTACAACAAATTACCAGTTGATAATTATGTACCAGACGTTAATCAAAGAAAATTTGGTTTGCTCGCTAGCTACGCTCCCTCGCCAATATGGAATTAACATCACCTTAAACCTGATTGTGTAAGCCCCGATCTGCAACAAAAAACCTGAAAATTATGCACCAATCATCATTAATTTTGTTTTGCCTGCCCCCAAAAATGGGATTGACATTGGCTTAAACACGATTATACCCACCCCGACCTGCAACAATGACACAAAGTTTATGTACCAATTCATTGAGGACAATTGAACCAAGTTTAATTGGCAATATTATTATTAAAAAAAGAAGCGATTTTTTATTCTTGCTCGCTACGCTCGCTTGCAAAAATTAAATTAACGTGCCCACCCCGACTTGCAACAATACCTGTTTATATACCAAACGTTACTTAAATATATTTTTTTGCCCGCTCGCTCGCCAGAAGTGAAAATTAGCATCGCCTTTTTTGTTTTGTTTCGATCGCTTGCCCCTCCCCCCCCCCCCCCCCCTGACGGGGTACCCCAGGTACGCCACTGGTCAAAAAATATTCTTTCACATGATTGTTAATAAAAAGCTTCCATTTCATTTTTTTTTAGGTGGGCGTTTCAAATACTGGTCTATACCTTTAATGGCAGGGTACCCGTAATAGCCGCCTTTAAACATTGCCCTGTTTTATAAAAACACGTCGTTTAAAAGTTTCAACACGACCGAAACGTGCTGTCATTCTTACTTTCATATTTTGTCACTTATGAAACAAAAAAGGAAAACAAGACACATGCTTCCACTTTAGATTGTATTATTTTGGTCTCAAGTGAGATTTATAAAAAAAAAAGAAATTATGCCTATGTACATTTTTTAAAGCCATATGTTGTTAATCACTGTACAAAAGGAAATCGTGTTGCGAGTCAAACGAGGACAATGGTGTTATTATATAGAACATTAAAGAAATAACCACAACCGATACAACCCACGTTTTTACAAAGTCGCAGAAGTATATTTCCTTGAAAATCATGATAGCTACGTACGGTGTATCCCTCCGCGTAAATTTCATGTAACAAGGTTTCTCACTCGCTGGGGTTTACATGTGAATGAACGCCTTTTTCTTCTTTAATTCACAGACCATCATACCTACTGAACTGTTTGTTAGTGTTTCCCTAGCATGGCACGTATGGAAATGAATATTACGGGGATTTCTGCAACAATAATGACTGACACACCTCCTCTCGTGTCGTCTGAGTTTGACATAACGTCGTCAGGTCTCTCGACATTTGGCGCGAACATGAGCGAAAATTTGACTGCTACCAACTCCACCGACGCAGTGTTGCCAGCCGTGTGGTCATGGATACCTTTCACTTGGCATTGGTGGGAGGTCATCCAGTTGATCCTAGCCATCGCTGGCATCATCGGAAACTCCCTGGTGATGTTGGTACTCTTCCGTGTAAAGAGAAAGCTCTGCTCCACCGATACCCTGATCGCTGGGTTGGCTCTGGCCGACTTCTTGACGTCGGTGTTCATCATTCCTCACGCTCAAGTGAAGACGCTTCCAGACACCATAGCAGCGCAGCTCTACTGTCGGATTATTCATTCCAGTTCCCTCATGTGGACATCCATCTGTGCGTCCATCTTTACCCTCACCACCATCTCAATCGAAAGGCTCATGGCTGTGAGGTATCCTTTCCAATTCCAGCATTTCTTTACCTCCAGATCAACCTCCCTCGTAATCGGTGGCATTTGGCTAATTTCCTTGGTCATCAACACCGTCAGTTTCTACGTCCACTACATCGTCGATGGAGAATGTGCTTTTGGCTTCTCGACGCCATCTTTCCAGAAGTTCATCGGAGTCTTCTACTTCATCGCAGAGTACTTGGTACCCGTATCAGTCATGATCCTAGCCCACGTCTTCACCATTCGAACCCTTCGTGAGCGCGCCCAGGTGAAGCCTTACTCCGCCGAAAACCAGAGCCAGCGCCCGAATAAACATTTCCTGCGAGCCCGACGTCGCGTCATCGAAATGCTCTTCATCGTTGTCGTCATTTTCATCATCTGCTGGACGCCTGATCAGTTTGGCTTCCTCGCTTTCACCGTCGGTATCATCGACTTCTCGCACTTCAACAGCCCCGTCTACCGCTCCTTCGTAGTCCTTGCTTTCGTCAACTCCTGTGCGAACCCTATCATCTACGCCGCCAGGAACCCGAACTTCAGACAGGCTCTCAAAGAACTCTTTAGGAACGTACCGTCTATCAGACTTCAATCTGTCTTTGCAGCCATAGATGAGACTAGCAACGTCTCTACTGATACAAGTGCGAGTAAACTATACTCTGTTGATAAAGTAGTCGTGTAATTATGTTTTCGTTGGCTTCTCTTTAAAGGTACTATGTCCCATTTGCAGGCCAAAAAATGAAAAGGTTTAATTCCAACGGCATTTAAAAGATAATACAAATTTAGAACTTACCTAAAAAAGGTGGGGCTTGAAAATGTCTTAAAGTAGGAAAATAACGAGTATTAGTTGTCAAATCGACTTAGGAGCTATAGAGCCAATAAGTAATAGTCTTGATTTTCAGACAATTGTACCGAATGGTCATACGTTTCATGCTGCACAAAGATTCAATCATTTTAATTTTGGCCATCACAAGAAGTGGGTTATTAATGTAGACATATGCTCATGAACCCTTTACGGCTCATTTTATATATGTTATTACCACAGAAGAAAAAAGCCAGTCGGTCACTCAATAGTGTTTGACAGTGAAGTCTAGCAAGTAAACTGGTTTCCTTGCATAATTTGAATATTAGGACACTGCTAACGTTTAAATTTCACAGATAGGACATACATGACATATTCATAATTCCTGCAAAGTTCTACAGAATTTGAGGTTGGCTGCAGAAGGGACATAGTACCTTTAAAGGTAAAACAAAGTTTTGGTATGGGGTCATGAATGTGGTTCAAATGAACATATTGGAAGCATATGCTATCCTATAATATTCAGTGGTCGTTATCGCGATTGAAATCGAGTCTAAAGTGATGAAATTGTAAATAATAAACTCTTTATGTTGTAGAGCTCCCTCTCAAGGTCAAGATATAAATTAAGCTTTAAAACAATGTTTCTTGACTGAAATCTACCGATTAGTTGTTCCCGTTTGGAAAATATATATCACAACTACATATTCTGAGATTTTCATAGTCACAGCTACCAATATACGGCCGTAGGCGCTTTTTGAAATTTATCAAAATTTACCGGAAGCACCGGTAAATTTTTATATTAAATTTTCTCGAAAGCAGAAATAGTTTAGGGGCTAAATTTTCTAATGCTCATAATACATCCACAGGGGCATCCAAATATATCAAAATTGTAAAGAATCACTATCGACCCAATTTTCAAAATTTCCCAAAACTTTGTATTACCTTTAACATACGGGGTAGGTTTCAGTTGGGTCACTATTTTAGCACTCTGTCCTCAATGTGAACAGTGTGATTAGCGTCGATGATGACACTGTTAAATGTGCTTAATGACCTTTAACAAGATTAATAATAACAATGTTCAACTTATTTACATTGAAATTTTTCTTTCAATTTTGTAATCATGTGTGTACGGTGTTATAGCCCTACCTGTCGGATGTAATACAAGAGTATCCAACAAAAGTGGCAAAGTGAGTATCTCCCTGATAGAACTTTGAATATTTCCATGTAACCCTTTACAAAACGTTATTGAAACAAAGCCGAAAAGCTCTGAACGAGTCGGCATATATTCCATGGAAACGACATTAATTAAACGCACAATTAAGGAACAACATTGTCATATTGAATTTCTTCAAAAGAGTGTACTCATTACTTTTCCTTTTGTTGGACAATATCGGGGATATACTATTTATCAGCTGAGAATAATGCTTGCGATCATATTTTGTTATATTTTATTAATATACACACACAAATATATATACATATATTATGCATGTGTGCGTGTGTGTGTGTGTGTGTGAGATGTGTGTGTGAGAGTAGGAGTGTGTGTGTGTGTGTGTGTGTGTGCATGTGTGTGTGTGCGTGTGGGTTTGTGTGGGTGTATGTGGGAACAAGTAAAGTTTTCATGAACTTTTAACACTAAACTATTGTGGCTATTGTAGCCTCGTTTAAATGATTTTGTTTTAAAATGTTTTAAATAGATTGTTTCTGTTTGTCTGTCGCTCCAATTTGGGGTATTCTGAGGGGGCTAGGAACAGTGTGTGGTGGAAGTGTGGTCGGGTGGTGTGTGTGTCGCATGATGGGGATGGGGTAGTAGCGTGTTTGGTTGGATGGGGTTATTTGTTTTATGTTACAACTGATTTCATTTTTGTTTTCATCAATTGTACAATTTATGTAATGCAAATGTTTTGAATTTATGTCAAGGAAAAACAACTGTACTTTATTTCTAAAATTAATTTGTATTGTTGGAATCAATTAAAAAAAACTATTCAAGAAAAAAAAGTATGTGCCTGTATTTAAATTATTAAAAAAAATCTTATTCACACCTAAAAGCGCATATCATCGCGCAGAATTGTATTTACTTTTAATTTCAGCGAAATGCCTCGTTGATACTTGCCTGCATTTTTGTTGGCGCATAATCTGCGCATAGACACATACTCGAGCGTGCCTGTGCGGGAAGTTTCGTGGTAACGTGAGGGAGGATGCGGGCCGTGTGTGAAATGCGTGACAGAATTTTCAAATGTTCAAAATTTTGGCACGACAATTTTGTTTGGTACCCTATGCGCTACCTAGTCGTGGTAGTGCGCGCAGATGGGTGGCGATGCATGCCCGTTAGCCTAGTGGCATGCATGTTCACGATTAATTTGCTCACAATTTGCGCATTGGCTGCGCATACTTCCCGCGCAGTTTTCGTATGACATGCGCATAGTCTACGAATGCGTGGCCTGGTGGTTACGCATTGCGTGAACTATTCGTAAATTAGACGTGGCCATAAACAGACTGCGTGCCACTAATTGGCACGGATTGACACGCCATAGAGCGGGGTAGTGCGGGACCAAAATGCGTGCAAGTGTCAACGAGGCAGATTCTGAATAAAAATACCATTAAATGAAATAGACTGAACAAAATTAAATCATTTGTGTTCCCGTTATCTTGGTCGCATTTTAATTTATAGATAATAAAATACACAACGGAAAAGTTGCATTGACAGAGTAGAGTGCTAATATTTTTTCCCCATCATTACTAATAAATACTTGATATTCACTATTTTTATATATTCGGTTAATCAACCAAGTCGACATTAATAGCATAATATCAAGAATTTTAAATAATCTCCAGCCAAAGTAAAAAATTTAAAAAAAATATGACCACTGTCACAACTCCATTACTCTTTTTTTCATTTCAAATACAATGTAATTAATATTTGTTATGTCATTGAATACAACATACAGATCGTGTAAATTTCAGGTAACGATATTGAATTAAAGAATCTTTTACTTAACCACTATAATTGTTTATTCATACACTTGTTTGTGGATAATTTGAATGCGATATTTAAAAAGATTCAGCCGTCAGGGTGCTTTTTAGCAAGTCCGGAAACACTCACATCTGCAATCTAATAAAGAACAACACCAATGACAACATGTAATGCTCATATTTTACATAATTTTACATATATTTATATTTTTATGAAGATGCTTTGAACCGGGCTGTCACACCCACATATCCCCTCTACCAATTAACCGTGCGCATTTAATCTCCGCTCAAATGCAATTACAACTCATGTGGTTTGTGTTTTTACAATGCAAACATAATGGGGACAACTTTAATATTCGCAATACCTGAATTTGAATCTGATCAAAATCTCCTTTTACGTGTTTCACACCTTCAAAATACTAAAACAGGATATAGTTTCTATGCTCCAGCGAACACAAAGTTTGGTACCGAGCGAATTACATAAGCAGTCCTATACAATTTGGCATCAGACGCGCATTATAAGTAAGCGACAAAGTTAGTAAGACGTGTTGAGAAGTGGCAAATTTCGATCGAGTTTTTACCTGCGCCAGCAAAAATTGTCAAGACAATAGGTGCATAAGCCAGTTTTAAGGTTGTTTTACGTGTAAAATGAAAGGCGACTGCGCGCAACAAAGGACTTGCGCGTAATCACTGAGGCCTGTTCATGTGCTATAAAAGTCAGTTATGTGAACGTACGTCATCATAAAGCAACGTCTGCGGTTTTGCCACGTCATATCTAAACGAGCTTAATCCTTAGGTCACATTTGCTCTACGGCTAGGATACGGTGATTGTACGCCCCGAAATCGAGAGATACTTGCGGCGGCCGCAAAGAATCTGTGGTGGCCTCATGGTCACCCTAGAGCGTATCCTTTACAGGCCGTACGGGTCGCCGTGGGATTATAACGCGGAGTTATAACTGTTTTCACTTCTAGGTTCGCCATAGCGATTAGACACGCCGTAGCAATGCCGTAGAGCGATTCCACGGCAACCGTACGTCGGGTGTACGGTAGCCTTGCGTTTTCTTTACTCCAGGGGTGAAGCGGTAGCATCAGTCTGGTTGCACGGTCGCCGTATGGTCCCCTTCGGCCGCCCTGCGGGCACCTTCGGCTACGTTGCGTCTGCCTCAGTATTTGTCAAAACGCTACGGCCGCCGCAGGGACGCCCTAAGGCGACCGTGCGTCATCACTTATAAGGCCGTACGCAGTCGCAGATTTTAGATACTTTAGACCGCACGGCCGCCGTGGCAAATGTGACCTAGGCATTAATTGCTAACGCAGTCCTACGTACGCTAGGCAAAGGACTCAACTCATAGAAAAGTGGACCTCCGCGTCGTAATCGAACAAAATAATTCAACAGAATAATTATTGTGAACACTATGCGTTATTTTTCTGACGTATAACTGTGTAAGCGACTGCCTCTGCTTTTTCACGTGACACGTGAGTGCAAAATGAACTCTCTAAACCTAACTTTATGGGCTGAGGGCGCATTGGTTATGGTAATGGTTTTATTAAAAATTAATTTGCAGCCAAATGGCTGAATTGCAGAATTTTGTACATTGCAAAAAACATAAATATTTATCCAAACATAAAACGTACTAAGACATATCACACAGTGAATGAATTTTCTAGATAAATCAGTGTACACACAAATATATACAAATTAATAATATTCATAAAATTCGCTTAATAGCTAACAGTTGCTTAATCACTCTATTCCACAATCATCATAGGGCTGGAATGAAATATAGAAGAGAGGTAGGGAGGATAATAGTGCAAACAGCACATGAGATCCAAGAGTGTGAGATAGAGAAAGACAGAGGAATAGAAAGGGAGAGAGGGAGAAACAAAGAGAGACAAAGCGAGATAATAATGCTGAGGATGAGAGTGTATATCAGACATATCGAAAATAAGGTAAAAAGTACAATTTCAACAGAGAGATTACTGGTTGTGAAAATTAATAAATTACATTTTACATTTTCATTGGTGGGTTATGGATAACATATATTGTAAATTGGTAGGTAGGTATGCAATCAGATGAAAGACATGAAAAATGATAATTTCACATGCCCAATATCAGCGCAGGCAATAACGCATTGAAATGATGATGGACCCAAAACTCAATTCTCGGTTATGTCCTTCAAATCGATGTTGATGGTCGAGACTGACTGCTTAATGGTAGTCGTCGTCGAATGCGATTGAGCCAGGGACGGGTTCTGGGATTCAAATGCTCTTCGACATATCCGGCTGCCAAAGCAAGCGTCAAGCTTATTTCTGAATACTGTCAGACGCAGCCAGATTATGACGGGATTCAAGATGCCGTTGATGCTCACCAACACATTACCAACATCGGCTAGGACAATGAACCAAAGTGTTTCCTCCAATGCCCCGTATATCTCGACCAGAAGCACGCAGCACATGATGACCCAACACGCCGTGGTGCTTGCGACGACCAGGGCAAAAGTCACAAGGATCTTCTTGCTGTTTTTCGCACGACGCTGGAGCGCTGCGTCATTAAGGACGATGTCCGAGATCGAAGCGATTTTCTTGTAGATGAGGATGTAACAGAGCGCAGTGATGGTTAGACATGCCAGTATGGCACACGGAGATACGACGTTGACAAGGATGTTTGACGCATGACGGTTGAATCCATGAATGATAAAATACGTCGATGGCACGACTATCCATCCGATCACGCAGATAGCTATAGAGCGTTTCGCCGTTACGATGTGACGATGTCCGAGGGCGTCGTAGCGAAGGATGATAAAGCGTTCGAATGCAATGGCGAGTGTGCTAAGTATTGATAGGAATAGTCCGGCCGTAAATAGGGGTTGAATCCATGATCCGTTTTCTAGTTGAAATGGTATCTGCATTGGAAAAATATTAATTTTAAATAAAATCGTCGCTGTTTTCACGAAGTGACGGTAGTGAAAAAAAAATGCATTCACTTTGCGTGACGATTTTCCTCACTACCGTCACTTCGTGAAAACAAGGACGAAATGAATAGATCTTAATCCCCTGAGTGTCGATTTTGTAAAGACAAATCATACAGTAAGTTATTCATACTTTCTTCATAAGTGTTTGCACTGTTTCATTGTCCAACCGTAGGCAAAAAAATATGTCATCAAGAAGGACCATTTGCCTATGATCTGTTGCACACGAGGCGTTATTTGCATGACGCAAGCCAAAAATTAAGTGTACACTGAACAGCTGAAAATAATATTGCTTTCAGTTACTACTGTATCTGCTAAAATAAATTACCTTTAAGGATATGATTAGCGCAGGTACATTATTAGGAAGTCGTATTAACACCAGAGAGAGAGAGAGAGAGAGAGAGGGGGAGCGAGAGAGATACAGATATATTTATATATTTAGTGAGAGTCAGAAGGGCGCAAATATGCCTTTCTTGCTTTCTATCACACACACGCACACACACCACAAGTCAGAAGGGTGCAAGTATGGCTTTTAGCAGACAATACTCACGTCATATCATGATGTCATTGCTTACCTCTGGAAAGCCATAAAAGTTGTTGATGAAGAGAGCGATAGCTGAGATGCAATCGGCAAGAGCGAGGTTAAACGTGAAGATATTCTGCTCTTTCCTTAAGGCTTTGCTTAACAAGATAGCACACACGGTGGCGAAGTTTATCAAGGCCCCCGTACTAGAGAACACCAGCATAGCCGTATGGTAAAGGTATGTTCTCAGCGGTTCCGTCATCCTTTAAAATTCGGCCTGAATGCTGCACTCGTAATGGAATTCATGCACCATGAAAGTAAAACAAAATAAAAAATTAAGGAGGTTGATGGATCATGTCGTAGTTGTGTGTTTGCTAATAAAATAAAAGAATGTTTATATATTTTTTATTTTTAAGTTCTCAAATTTACCAATGTTAAAAAAGGTCAGGTTTTAACATTTGCCGAGTATTCTTCAGATTTTTCTCCACAAATCCCCCCTATAATATATTTTGAGGCGACAGCGTATAAAAATATAACTTTGCCGACGGAAAAATGTGTCACACACCGCCACCCCCCCCCCCCCCCCTTGTAGCGATGCCCCTAAGAGAAAAAACTTATTCTGTTGTCAGAAAATACGAAGAAACCCTTCGCGGTCATTGATTAGTGGCAAAAACATTTTTGTGTGTGTGTGTGTGTGTGTGTTTTTACATATATTTTTTTCATAATTAGAAACCAAATACGAAGAAACAAATCGCGGTCATTGACAAAGGCTTTTTTTAAATATTTTATTTGTGTTTTTAATGGTAAATCAAAAGAAATCACAATATTTACAGATAATTTTCATAATCAGAAACCAATTCTCTAAACAGATTAAAGCAATATCAATACAATAAATGAAATGGTACAAAATAACATTTGTTATAAGGCAGAAAATTGAAAACACTAAACCATACAGACGAATTCTAAATTCAGAGTCAATAATATGTTACTTAATCTGTAGCGTGAAGATACAATACATTCTGTCTTGTTCTGTTCCTCTTGGATCAACTTACATGTAAGTAACCTGTAGATTTCTATATCTAATAAGTAAAGATCGTATTCCGTTAAGTTCATTCTTGAAATGGTACAACTGACAGTTGTACGTGACAAATCTACATTTCATATTAACATTCATTAACAAGCAATTAAAATTGAATAATTTAGTAGTCTTTATTACATCTTACGGATACGAAATAGAACAGAAATGAAATACTTACACTATTCGAGCAGCGACCCGCAAAGCACCAATATCAAACTCGAAATGCGAATCCAGATCGGGATGTGTAACAAAATTATAGCAGATATCGAGTTGAATTCGTGAAGCTCTTAAACCTCACTTTAGACATTGATTCCAGCTCTATTACAAACGCCCAGTAAAAATAATACTGTTAGCAGCGCATATCAGACCCCAATTTGATTTTTTTTTTGTCTCCCTCGATCTGTGTAAATAATCTAACTCGCACCCTGATCAAGATGTGACACGTCCATCCATCGCCCTGGTTACAAAGTACACGCTTGCGGTTGATTCCCTCTGTATTTTAATTCCCTTTTTATACAGATTGACGAGTGTCACGAGTTTGTAATCCTTTCGTCACACCGGGAGACCGACTCCAAACCGATCGATTCTTGGCCGCTCAGGATAAATTTTTTAAATACGTGTTTATTCTCTTCTCTCATAAAGAAAATTTTAGATAATTTATAACATTTTATACAAAATTACAAATAATCTTCATAAAGGCCTAGGTTTAAATTAACTTGCGAGTGAACTTTAGCATTTCCATACAAGGTTACTAATAAATCTTCATATAAAATATATTTGCAAATGAAGTTACTCATTTACAGAAAAAAAATATTCACATAAACAAAATTGTAGTTTCACATTTTAAAGAAATCGTATATAAAGCTTTTACAATTTCCTCGACCAGCTTTCATATAAATTTCTTATTATTAATTTACTTTTCCACAATAATTTGTTAAAAATACTAGCAGTGAGAAAAAAAAGGGTTATGCTAAAAAGAAAGAAAAAGATATATGATAAAAGAAGAAGAAAAAATGTATCGATGTGATGTCGGGCTCGTTTGTGTGACAGGGGTATATAATAACCTCGTTCTAGTTCTGGATTTTGAGCCGAGGCCGCATATAATGTCATAATCCCATATCGAATCCATAAATGATGTAACTGATGATGAATTGGTACTCATCACTATGCGGAACAGCGAGGCAAATAGGTTTAAAAAACAAAGTGCTCCGGTATGATGATAATACAAATAATAATGATAATAAATTTTTTTTTTTAATAATGATAACAAATAATAGATCCATTTTCTAGTGCAGGTACTATATGAATACACTCTACCGCGCTTAATACAAAGTATGATATTATTACCTGTCTGCAGCCGATGCGCCGTAATAAGGCGCTAATTCGTGGTAATGTCAGTATCAATAGATTGTGAACTCGGAATAATAATAATGATAATTATAATATTATACCCACCATACGCACACGTCATTTGTCCGGACAGATTGGATATCCGGACAGTTGATTTCAAACAGCAATCTGAAGAAGTTCACATGCAATATTTCATAAATCTTTTAAAAATTATGTTGGAAATTGTTACAGAGGAATTATGATGAACCCGATAATACGATATTAACTACTTTCGAAGAAATCAACCTCAGGCAATTTCAATAGCTTTGTGCGTCTCCTATTGAATTAATGCGAAAATGTCAATGACGAATTGTGTAATCCGAGCACTATATTAAATTGCCAGTTGATTTTTATTCTTCGAAAGTAGTTGTTAACATATTGGCAGTAAGTGCTATTTTATGCATTTTTACCTGCTTAAGTGCACACGCGGAAGCGATATATTACATTACATAACGTAGCACATGCCATTGCCGAAGCGTCTCTTGGGTCTCTTTGTCCGTAGCCCAAATAATTTATAGGAATTACTTAATCAATTATTTGACGACTCTCATTTTCTTTCATACCCAAAGCCTGTGCACTAGCGCATTGTTGAAAGAGATAATAACTTGGATATGTCCACTTCAAAATCGTCAAATCATGTGATTTTGACGTGTCGTGGTGCGATGGTTGAGTCACTTGACTCTCAATTCAAGGGTTGATGGTTCGAATCCCACCCAGGCTCTAACGTCCTTTGGCAAGACATCGGTCCTCATTTAACACTCTCCATCGATGTGTAAATGAATACCTGGTAATTTATGGGGGTGATACTAATTTGAATAGCAATAAGGAAGAACATTACAGCTACTTTCCTTGGTAAACAACGTATTTTCATCGTTGATAAATAAAGCGCCATTGCTGTCATACGAGAAAATAAGAGTGTTCCATTGTGATATTTTTAAATGCAATCGTCAAGATGCACTCCTATTTCAAAATTGTACAGTTTTTCGGAATGAACGATATTGAGAAAAGTCAAGATCCACATAAAATGCGATATTCACTTTCGTGGCTTGAATGTCACAAAACATTACATTGATTTGACAGAAAAGGGGTGAATAAGCAACAAAAAAATGATACAACATGTAGTTTTACATGAACGAGGGGGGGTTGTTGTTTTTTGAGGCACCAACTCTGAGAATTCCAGGATTACCAATACTCGGGCAACCATCTCATCATTTGTATTTCTGCATGATTATCCGGTGGGTTTTGATGGCGAAAATACTTTCTAGTATGATGAAATGATTTACAATAGGCTATACACTACACGCACTCAAATACTTTCAATGATGCATGATGAATGCCAACCTGTATCACAAGTTTATTCATATAACTTAAAGATAAACTCCAGTACTGGTAAAAAAAAATTAATTCTCACAGAATCAAACGAAACTTACACTGAATGTTCAAGATTACAAATAAATGACATGTGCCAAACAATTTTGGAAGAAAATGTATACTGGCTGAGTAATGAGCATAGAAAGACAAGGAAATCAAGGTATTACTAGCCCCGACACCATATGTGTTGTCCGATATATAGCTTTCTATGTGAGTGCTTGTTACTTTACCAAGACTCGGTCAAATTTATTATGATTTTGATGACTCCAGAACCTTGCAGTGCACACCAATACTTACATGCTACATGATCAACTGTTTCTGATCCTTTCCACACCTTTTCTTTCACAATGCAATCGCATTACCAGTACTAAAGTTTATCTTTAATGTTGCGTAAATCGTTAAAAGCTTGGGGTTTTTTCTTAGACATTTATAAACATTTTTTGTTGAGATAACCTTTTCAGAAAGTAAAGAGCGCTCAATGCCAAACCTGACGTGGTGTCAGTGTTAAAGTGCCAGTTTTTTTTCTAGACGTCGATTTTAAATAACTCTCACAAAAGAATAACCCTACCAGGCAATTAGTCTGTAATATTTATTAAAGTATTACAGGGGAAGAATTCAAAGTAGATAATGCAGTGTTGTCTAGCAGATTGGGAAAGGGTTAGGCTGTGGAAGGGAGAACAGATAGACAAATGTTTTAAAGGGGAAGTCCGCCCTGATATTAAGTTGATTTTAATAGAAACAGCTAATGAGAGAAACAGGTCAGTTAAGGTTTGAACAAAATCGATTAAAAAAAGAAAGTTTTGAATATTTGAAGGTGCAATCTATCGTACACGAATTGGCAACTCTGTGACGTATCTTGCGAGGCCCCCTCTCATTTCCCCTGTACTAAAAAGTTTAAAAATCTATATTTTCCCTTGAAAGATACTATGTCCCTTTTGCAGCCAACCTCAAATTCTGTAGAAATTTGCTGGAATTATGAATACCATCATGTATATCCTATCTTTAAAATTTAAACGTAAGCAGTTTCCGTATATTCAAATTATGCAAGGAAACCCGTTTACTTGATAGACTTCACTGTCAGACACTATTGTCAGTATTGAGTGACTGACTAGCTTTTTCTTCTTCTTTGATAATAACAGACATATAATGAGCTGTAAAGGATTTGTCTACTACAATAACCCACTTCATGCAATGGCCAAAATTAAACTGATTGAATCTTTGCGCAGCATAAAACGTACGACCACTGTAGTACAATAGTCTGAAAATCAAGACTATTACTTATTGGCTCTATAGCTACTAAGTCGATTTGACAACTAATAGTCGTTATTTTCCCACTAAAATACATTTTCTAGCCCCATTTTCTTAAGGGGAGTTCTAAATTCGTATTATCTTTCAAATGCCATTGAAATTTAACCTTTTCATTT